GGTCGGTGCGTGTCGTGCTTTCCTCGATCCCCCGCCCTCCCCCACCATCTCCGCCGCTTTGGCTCTCCAGCCTCACCACCGGGAGGCGGCGAGGCGAAATCAGACTCGGTCGAGAGACCCCAGATTGGCATCCATGCCTCTCTGGACAGGGTGGCCCGCCACAACGACCCCTGGAATTGCGACTCGCCGCTTTCCTCCCGCTGTGATCCTGTGTGAGCTCTGTGTCTTGATTTGCCAACAACACACCTAAAAGAAAGAAAACCGACAACCCAAGGGAGGGATGGGAGGACGGCACGCCGCCACCACACAGCTCACAGGGATTTCACGGGACTCCCAACTCCACCACGAGCTTTTTTCTTCCTTGCTGCCTGGTTGACTGGGTGTCCTCGAGAGGTGGTGAGTGCCACGGGGGCCCACTGATTGCCACGCCCTCTGGTCGCCTCCTTGCCAATGTGGGGCGGCTCGCTTGACTCGAGTGAGATGCAGTGCGAGACGCCCGTCTTCGATCAGTCTGGCTTCTCCATGGCGGAATACGAAGCGTGAGTTGCCCCGCCCTCCACCGTCAACGCAATCGCGACCCGCCGCGCCTCGCCAGCCCGGCGGGAGCCATCGGCTCCGCCGGCGCAAGCGGACCGAGCCGTGCCGCCCCTGCCACTCCCTGCAGGTACCAGCGCGTGCGCCTCGAGAACGAGTACTACACGACGCTGCTTCAGCTTGCCGAGCCGACCCGCGCGGGCGCGGCAGGAGGCGGTGCTGTGCTGCGTCGAGGGAAGCGCGCGAGCGGCGAGGGCATCGTCTCGCCCGACGCGTCCACCAAGCGCGCCCGCGCGACGCAGTCCAGCCCTCTCCGCGACGTCGGCCCCTTCCAAGCCAACGGCTCGCTCCTCCTTGGCGGCTGGCCGGGGGCGCAGCAGCAACAGCAGCAGCAGCAGCAGCAGCAGCCCATCGTTGAGCATGTGGTCTCGATGGAGGCGTGACGCGCCGCCCTTCGCTCCGCCCTGCAGCGGGCAGGCGCGGCCCGGGTGAGGGGAAGTTCCACAGCCGCGCTCCCGCCTGGAGGGACGCGTGTCCAGTGTTGCCATGTATTTATCGAACGGGGACGGCCCCAGGGCGGGTGTCCCATCGTCGGGAGGGCGGGGTCGGGAGGTCCGGACCGGGGGCCGGCAAGGAGCCTAACGTCTGTCTCCCGTCTCCGCTCCGCTGTTTGGCGCCTGCTGCCTGTGGCCCCGCGCGCCTCGTCCGCCGTCGTGACTGTCACACGCTCAGCTTCGCATACGTTATTTATTCTCAACACATTGGTTTAACATCTTAAATGGAAAAGGAAAGAGTGCAAAAAAACAGAGGCTCGGGCCCATCCCCCCCGCATCCGCGATCCGGGCGCGCGGCGCCGAGCGACGAGCGTGTTCTCGGTGTTCCTGTTCGGAAGAGACTTCGGAAGAGCCTCTGTTCGGGTTTGCGACGACATGCGACATGCGACATGCGTGATGCGAGCCGGGTCCGAGCACCGAGGATCTCTCGGCGGTCAGTGTGGGGGGCCGGGATCGAGCCGCCTCGGGGTGGCGGGCGAGCGGGCGTTTTGAAAAACAGAAAACAGAACACAAGAGGGGCGGCCGGGGGCCCAGCCCCCCCACTGGGAGTAGAAAATACGCCCAAGGGGGCCAAGGAGGCGGCGCGGGGAAGCAGCTAGCATCAGGTGGGAGCAGGGAAGGAATTAGGGTTGGCGGTTGCCTAACGTTGGGAGCTGAACAGTGTTGCTAGTGTTGACAGTAACAACAGAACAACAGTGGGGCTCCCCAACAACACAGTAGCTAACGTTAGGCCGACTGAACAACAGTAAGGAAGGCCTGGCAGTGACCCACGACGATCTCTCTAGTGTCCAGTGCGGGTAATACCCGAAAATACCCGGAAAACCCCAGGTATTTTCGGGTCTACCCGTTTTTTTTTGCCATTTCGTCTGCTGGTGCATCAGAGACTATCCCGGATCCTGCTGACCAAGCTCCTCTTGTAGCTCGATCGGTCACACCGCCATCGCCGTCGGGGAGAGGGGGGACGGCACTGCTTCGGCAGCGTGCACCTCGATCCTGTACCGTGTTTGTTATGCCCCCCCCCAATGAACACTCCAGTGAGGGAGGGCGAGACGATCGAGGGGTCCCGTACCATGCGGAATCGACCCTATCCAGTGCTCAAGTGCTCAAGTGCTTGCTGGCCGCTGGAACAACAGTAACAACAGTAACAAACAGTAACAGCATGGGCTGGGATGAACACTTGAACAACGTTGAGGATTTCAGCCAACAATCGCGCAACTGTTTTAGGCCCCAAATTAACGTTAGGCAATCCTAGGAAGGATGGCGCTTGAACAAGGGTTTCCAGGTTTTAGATCAGTATTGGTGTCGGCACACATCCCCATATGAGTGAGGCCAGCGGAGCGCAGTGCCTCTCTCGCAGGCTGATTTTGGCTGCTTTCGAGCTTGTTTTTGTTTTCAGGCTGGGGGCCCAACCCCCTCAGAGCACAGAGGCGGCGGGCGGGCGCCCACTGACCGAGAGATCAAAAACGCTCGGCCCCGCCATCAAGTGATCAAAAGTTCATCCAGAGAAGGGGAGAGAAAGAAGAGAGGCGCCAGTGATGACGAAGCAGAGACTAGCGCAGACGAGAGCAGGGTAGACCCAGGGTAGACCCGGGGACGGGGGAGTCGGAGCAGACGGCATCGGCCGCCGAGGGAACGTTAGGAAGAGGCACGAGGAGGGCGGCGACCTCAACCGACTATGGAGGAGACCAGTCGCCAGACGACGCAGGGCAGACGACGGGGAGGTGGAGCAGACGCGCAGGGCGAGACGAGGGAGGGAGCAGGACTTTGCGGAGATCAGCAGGAGGATGTACGAAGAGATTAGGAGCAGCAGGGACCCGAGGGACCATGTGTGGAAGACGGCTAGTGCTAGTCCCCCAGCCCAGCGGGAGGACGACCCCGGCTAGTCGCCGACCACACCCACAAAGAACCCTGCACAAAGATCCGGGGACCACAGTTACTTTTTACCCATCTCACAGTAGAGGTGTCCGTTTTTATTTATCGCCATCGGCATCGCCGCGCCCCGCTCGGGCCGGCGCGCGCCCGGCGCCGCCGCGGGACTGCCTGGCCGCGGGCGAGGGGGAGAAGAAAGAAAGAAAACAGACCGGCCAAGGGAGGGATGGGAGAACGGCACAAACCGCTACCTCACTCACAGGGAGTGTGGTGCGTCCGTGCGCGAGCGCTCTCCCATGAGCCATGTTCGCCACCATCAGGTTGCCTTCGGGCGTCTGCCTCCCCGTTTTTTTTCTTCTCGCCCAGTCTCGCAGCGCCCGTACCCGGGTATGAACAATACGCACATCGTTTTTTTATTGTCCCAGAATATGCGCTCGACATCCGAGTCCGTCGGAGTTGAGGAGAGCAACCCGTTCGACCTCATATTCCATGAAATTCAAGGAGGTGCTCGAGAAGCACCGCACGCCACGACGACACATTGACTACGGGTTGCTCAAAGAGCGCATCCGAAGCGGAGTCTCGCGCAAGCGTTTCGAGCAGTTGCTCGCTGATGAGGTTCGCGCTGTCGACGGCGAGTTGCAGGCAATGCAGGCGAGTGCAAGCAGCCTGAGTGTGCGCGAGGTGCATTCGTTTGCGGTCCTGAATTACCTGGCGCTTCGCAAAATCGAGAAGAAGGCGGACAAGTGGTTGGCGGGATCCAGCAGTGGCTCGCTTGTCTCGCAATCCCGCCTCTGCATGCTGCTCCTGAATGCTTCGCTTCCGGTCGAGCTTGCACGCGCGCAGCGAGGCGAGGAGGTGGGGTGCAGCGCGAGCACAGGGGGTGGGTGCGAGGAGAACTGCCCCGTTTGCCTCGACGCCTACAATGCGACGGATCACATCGTCCTGACTCAGTGCGGACACCGCTTCTGCTACTCGTGCATGGCGGAGTGTGCCCTCGCCGGCTTCGAGAGCTGCCCCGTCTGCCGGAAACCGCAGTCGCTCGACCCAACGCTCGCCGCGATCGACAAGCTCCTCGGCACACATGCGGGAGGCAAGTACGACCCGCTCGCAGCGCCGCTGCCGACGGCAGCAGAGGAGGCGGCAGCAGCCAAGCGGCTTGAGGCGGAGGGCGGCTCGGCGGCGGGTTCCGGCGGTGGCGGTGGCGGCGAGCTGAGAGTGCTCACCTGGAACCTGGCCGCAATCTGCTTCCCCTTCAAGGCCCCTTCCTGGCAAATCGCGCTTGGCGTGCTGCTCG